GGCACATCGACTCAAGAAACTGCATGCAGATTTCGGATTTTGGCGAGCCTTGCTGCTGATCGGGCCCATTTCTGTCTGTTCTCGTTTTCACTCTCCTCGGAAACGATTTGGGCTTATTCCCGAGGCCCACGGCTTAATTGCTGCCCGAAGCCCTTGTTTAAGGAATTTCCCACTATCACCTCTTAAATAATTGTTACCAACTGAGGTCGGCCAAGGATCTGTCGAGGAAAGTCCTTTGCAAAACATGCCTGCATGCCGTAACAACGGCGGAGATAAGAAGAAATGATCCATTCAACAGAGGTGATACACGACCGCGTGGCACTGAACGTGACATTGAAAGACTTCAAACTTACGAAAACGCAAGCACCATTCCTCACATCAGAGAAATGTGGCAAGATGTGGCAAGATGCACTGGCCTCCCAACTAGCAGACGAACAGCTCGGTGTTACGTACACCTCCTTTCCAAAGGGGTCTGCTGCAAAGGCCAGAGGACAAGCAGCACTATCAAGTGCAACATCATCTACACCTGTTGCTGTGCCACCAGTGCCGATCAAAGCCGCGAACCTGTCACCTCCGCCGAAAAATCCTCCGCCTAAGGCCGAAGCATCCTCTCAAGGATCGACGCCTGTGACCCCTGCAAGACCCAAAGGTCAAACAAGACGAGGAGGTCAAAACAGGCGCATTCAGCGAAAGGCATTAAGAGAAGCCCACAATCGAGGGCTTTGCAATCACGTTGATACAGCGATTGAAGAAACCCAACAGGGTTCCGCAGTCAATCAACTCAGCAGAAATTTAATATTGAGACACGTCGATACTATCGACGCAACAGTCGACGCGACTGCAACCTTTACTCAAGGCATGCTCCAACATATTGAAACATTCGATCTGGAGGAACCTTTCAGCACTGAGTTCGTCCCAGTCATCGAAACACTCCACAGAAGCTTAGACAACAGCGACAACGCCTTTGTCATAAATGACAATATGACTGTCACCATGCCGCTGGAAAAATATACTAATCTCCTTCGGCTTACAGCTTCTCTGAGAGTCTCTATCGAGAGAGACAGAGATGAAAGAAAAGAGCATATTGAAAAACACACTGATACTCTATCCAGAGTTTCAATTCTTACTACAGCCTTGAGACAGGCAAAGGCAGTTTTCAATCAGCTGGTACACTCTTCCCTCGAAACCGAGAGGAAACATACAAATCTCAAGCACACCCTCGAGGCTCTCATTGATGATCAGAGCTCAGAGAGTGATCAAGAAGAAGAGCAAGGCGGACCACCGTCACCTTCTACCCATCAATACTGGGATAACTTGTATGCGCACGCCCTATCTCCATCCGGAGACGAGTCCGAACATTCATGGCCATCATCCGATGGAGAGAATCATCGCAGAACAACGGCGAAGGCAAAATCAAGTTCCCAGGCCACCAGCTCACAAGCTGTGCCAAAGGCAAAATCAAGACCTGATACCTCCACACATGGAGACGATGGCATTGATGAGGAATTCCGAAGAGCAGAAAATAGGTTCTTGGGTATTTACTCCAGCAGTGAAGAGGATCATTCAGATCCAGATGAACCCCATCCAAATGCCATCGCCAGATCTTACAATCCTGACACGGATTCCAATCGGAGATGAGAGTTCCCCCGAGAAAGAAACTTACGCTCTACCAAGAGCCAAGTGAGCCAGTGCATAATTCGATGTAGTAGAAGACACAGACTTGATCATGTACAGAAGATCTCTCTGACTCAACATCTTGCATGAAACGGAGTGCTTCTGAATTGTACTTAATTCTAGAAATATCTAAGATATCATCTCTTTTGAATGAGTCCATACTCCGCTAACTTCGAGACAGTGAGCACTTTTAAGAAAATGTATACATGTGGACACTCGGCCATGCTTACAGTAAAAGAAAACTAGTGTCTGTTTGTTTGCCTAAACTCCCAAAGGGGCTGTACTTTCAGCAATGGCATGGCTGTATGCTCACATGTATATATGTCCGTTGCTCGCTGGCTCAAGTGGTTTTACCGACTTGACACAAGCTCTCTCTGCGTAGCAGAACAAAACACTTGCTGTCCGTGTGCTGGGCGTTGCCTTAGATCCCACGGGACTCAAACTGGTCATACACTCCCACAGGAGTAATCCTAAAGGGGTGTATCGGCTCACCCCCCCCCCCCTGCCCCCTGCCCCCCCCTCCCCCGCTCCTTCTCCCCTGTCCCATCACTTTGATGGGGCATGCCTCCATGTCCAGTACTATCCAGCATTCGATCACATCATCAAACAGAGCAAGCAACATCATCCAATAAACCCATGAACCAACACCACCTCATGCCAGATATCACTGATCCGAGCTTGCATGCTTTCAGTAACCTTGGCTTTACACTTTAGGGTTTAGGGTTTACGTTTAGGTTTAGTTTTACGTTGAGGTTTAAGGTTCGGGTGTCAGGTCTAGATTTAGGGTTGCGGTGTAAACCCTAGCCCCAGGACTTATTGGAATGCATACATATATAGGAATTCAACCTCTCATGGTTTGTCCCCCTGAACTCGTCCCCCTCACATGCTCTCTGATATTACTTGTGCTTCTGCGGACGGACGCCGAGGCGGGCGGCGTAGCGTTAAAATTAGCCATGAACAACAGCAGTTGGCACTTGGCACCCATTGCCTGCGGCTGGCCTTGACTGTCGTCGTCGGCGCTGGGCCATGGCCAGGTCGCACGCCGCCAAAGCCTGGCAGTTGCCGGTGCATTTTGTCTGCCCCCTCAGCGACTGTGTATCACCGCCCAGCTCGGCCTGACTTTTGGACCCGGCGCCCGTCCGTAGGGTTTCGAGGCATCGGGGAGGTGCATGGAATGCGTCGCATGGCTTCCGCTGCCGCGCGTAGGGCGCGACGAGCCAGCCTTCAAAAATTTGAGTCTCGCGGGTAGTGGCGAGATCTGCGAGGCTTTTCAAGCTGTGCATAGGGCACCGCGCGGCCGAGATGCGACTCACAAATGTAAAAGCCTCATGGTGCCTCAATTTTCGCTGGAGCAGAGCAGAACATCTCGACACCAGAGGTAGACGGCGGCTCGTCGAAGAAGCTGTTCTTGATGTACATGTTTGCATCTGCAAAATCCTGAATTTGCTGATCGCACATGTCCTGGATCGTGCGCCAACGAAGCTTGACTTCCTCGTATTCAGCCTGGCTTGTGTTTAATCTGTCGACCTGGCTAGTCTTTAATCTGTCGAGGAGCTCCTGGAATCTTTTCCGCACCGAAGACGCAGTCATCACCTTCGGCCTGCATCTTCGCAAGCGCCAGTTTGCATGTGTCGGTAATATACATGCGCTTCTTCAGCTTTGCACGTATATCATCGATGAGCTTCTGGCGAGCTGCTTCTGCTCTCTGAGTCTCGTCCACATGTAAAAGCATTACTATGCAACCCTCCTCCGTCCCATGCTTAAAAAGACAAACCATCACGTTGGTTGTCTTCCGATCCGCTGCCATCCTCGGGGTGTTGGTAGCCAGTGGCGCCAGCGCAAAACTACAGCGAACGAAATCCGCGTGCCTGTCGCATTCGAGCTTTGAGCAAAAATGCCGAAGCAGCACAACCCGCTTGCCAAGATCTGAGCCCCGCCGACACCATGAAGATGTTCAGAGAACGGCTTAGCACTCATTCCTCGCAGGGCTGCCCTGACTGATAGACCACGTGATTATCATGGGCCTTTGTCATTGTCTCAGCGCAGTGTTGCTCCAGCAGCGTGGACACAGCTGCTGCCGGATCTCAGAACCGGTTGGGTTTGGCGTGCTGTGGCAAGTACAGCAGACGAACGGCTTATGACCTCCAAGGCATCTCTCAACACGAACACTCAGGCAAAGGACTCTTTATACTTGTCAAGCGAACGTACCTGACCTAGCCTGCCGGTCATGCAAGCGATGCGAAGCGCCCGGCTCGGTGCCTAGCAAGCTCATTCGACACTCTTTCCCCGATCCTTGACGCCCCGCCCCTAGTAATCTAGTAGTGATTCATCCCCTGGATTGCCACAGGAGCCTCGGACCAGCGCTCAGACAAACAGCAGGCGCCCATCGCCTTTGCGTGCGGAACGAGCAGAAGCTCGGAGGGTTGCAGTTGCAGGAAGGTCCAGCAAACAATCGTAGTGACTACCCGGTGCTTAAGAGCCTCTTGGTCGAAGCCACTGCACGATGCTTATCCCACCGGAAATTTCGACAACGTAACCTCGCTTAAGCCAGCCGGTGTTGACGGTTCGGGGGATTACGCGGGCATCCTGAAGCGCCCGGAGTTCTGCAGCAATCCCGGACACCCTGATCTTGCCCCAGGCTCTCGACCTGTCGGGGCCTCATGTTCCCGCGGAGGCGTGCCATCAAGCCGAACCTCAGGCGACGGAGGGTGGTCAGCATCGCCAAGCCATTCGCCGATGCAAGGCAAGCAAGAACATCTGATCGGCACGCTCAAAGGGTGGAGTGGGTCCCCACCAGGCCGAGGAGATGCGTAGTTTGTAAGCTCATGTCAGCATTGTAAGCACCGTGCAGCTGCAGAACAGAAGGCCGTGGACTGAAGCGACTGCCGCCATGCCGAACAACAGGGCAAAGGCAATCCAAGTCGGGGCTGCTGGAAAGCAAGTGAACAGATGCGTAGGTGTCGCGCGACCGCGAAGATCTGTCAGAGCAAGTGCACCTGGCAACGTTTTACCACATGAGTAGAGGATAGCAATGATCGTGAGTTAATTTCATGTCGCCCGTAGAGCTTCGGTGGTCGGCCAACATGTTCTTCATGCGGCGCGAAGGACAGCGCAAGTGCCATTCCGTCCATCTCGACACATCTGGGCATGCCTGTTTTCTGACTGTCTTGCAGGCACACGTAGGGTCTGCAATAAAAAGCAGCAAGGGCTGTGCGTAGGGCACAGGACCACTTGCAAGAGTCACAGCTACACGAAGGGTGCAGCAGCTGGTTCCAGGCCAACCACAGCGTGCTGGCCATATGGAGCATCTACGCGAGCGAAGCAGC